CCACCCCCACCTTCTTCTTCTTCTTCTTCAACCTTCAGCCACCGTCACCGTCGCCGTCAACCTTCAGCAATCGTCACCCCCACTAGTTCTCGTCTGCCGTCGACCGCCGCCGCCTACCACAAGACAAACAAACAAACAAAATTCGAGTTCCCCAAACAAAAAAAAAAACCAAATCACTTTCTCTCTCTCTCTCTCTCCCCTCCCCACAAGTTGCCGGCACCAACACCACCTCCTCCTTTGTCGGCCGGCACCTCCACCACCTTCTCTTGTCGGCACCGCCACCACCACCTCCTTAGTTTTGTTTTTCTCTCGACTCAGGCAGAAACAGAAACCTACAATTAGGACATGCCTTTAGATAATTTTGTACCGAAAATCTGGGCATTATTATCGGAAATTTGAGGTTTTAATTATTTTGCTTTAGGAGAAAAGGGTATGGGTGTTTTGTTTTCATGTATGTATATTGAATTTCACTGGATTTAGGAATGGGTTTTGATTGAGCATTAGACTGCGGATTAGCTCGGTTTTCAGTTATAGCATTCACTATTGCTTTGTTAACTTTCATCAGAATGTGAATATATGAAATCAGCTCAAAAATTGGAGTTTTGATAAATTTGCTTTTGGTTTGATTGGATAGTGGAACGGTGGCTCAGTTTGAGGTTCATGGGAAATTGAGGATTTTGATTGAGTTTTGGGGGTATACTTTGTAGAATTGTGTTTTTTGCTTGGTCGATCTGTTTCAGATGCCATGACATCAACATTGCGTTCTTGCACAATTTGTGAGAGCTCAGGTATTATAGCATCTGTTGGTGGAAATGTAGCAGGGGAAACTTCTGGAGCTCCAACCAGTTGGCTTACATGAAATTGCGGCAGAAGGACTAAGATTCGTAACTCCAATGGAATGGACGAGTGCCCAGAAGATGGATATTAGCTTCGAAAAAGAGATGGTATTCGTGCCCAGAAATTGACCAGTCGCGATTTTTTTTGCTGTTTAAAATTTTTGTTCAGATTGCACATCCAAAGATTTGAGGTTGTCGTAGTGATTGTTCTTGAGGAGGTGGCGGTGGTGGTGGTGGGAGATGTGGCGGCGGGACCGGTGGTGGCCATGTGAGGGATGATGGTTGATTTTCTATGGGGTGAGGTGGGGTGGGATGGAGTGGGGCTAGGTTGGGCGGGGTGGGGGTGAAGAAGGAGATGAATAGTTTTTTTTTCTTTACTTTTTCTTTTTAATTATTTTAGGTTAAAATATGTAAAGTTACTATTTTACCCTTATTCATTTTGGTCAAAATTACTATTTTCGGTTGACTAACAGTCAACTGGATGGAAACCATCCACATGGACCTGCGTTGCATATTTATGAAAGGTTTGGGACCTCCGATGGCACAAATCAAAGGTTAGGATAAAGTGCGCAAAAATTTGAAAAGTTTGGGACCGCAGCTGCAATTATCCCACGAATTTATTACAAATCATGAAGCAGCCTACCAACCAGAATGAAGTAATGAACTCCTCCTTATACCTGATAGCAATAAACCAGTAATTAACCACAAATATTGATCCATTAGAATTTCATATAATGACAGTACTGTACAAAAGGAAACCTTCATATTTGTTTAACTTGACACTACTAGTCTAAATTATGCATAAGCTATATATCCAATAAGCTAATCCACAAGTAATTATATATAACCCCATATGTAAACCAATAGACCAAAGAAAATAAAAGTAAAACCAGTAAATTCAAAGGCGTTTAGAAGGCCTTGTGATAAATATCATGAAGTTTCTTCCATGATTCTTCTCTCTGCATCTTCAACTGATTATAAAAATCTCCAATAAATGTCTCAGCTTTATGATATAATTCCTGCCCACTAAGCTCCCCAATCTCCTCTCCATCACCGTCGTGTTCTTCAGTGCAATCTTCTTCGGCAGCTCCAATAAAAAACAGGCTTGGAGTCGAAGAAGATTCGTCTAAAACCTTCTGTACCTTCACCGTATCAGCAATTTTCTCTGATGAAGATTTTTCGAAAACCTTAACCGGTTTGTTCGTAGAAAGATCTTGACTATTAGTTCCATTGTTTGAAAAGGTGGTCGAATTTTCATTACCGGGATAAACCTCTGACGATTTTTGTGCAGGTTTCTTGTCTTCTGGGGCTTTAAGGAAAAAGGAAGCAAGCCCAGATTCTGCTCCAACTGCGAAGATGAGAATGTTGACGATGAAGCAGAGATGTTTAGGCCTGAACGATGTGGATAAAAGCGGTGCTATAATGCAGAGAGCTGATATTAGAAAAAGCTTCAGAATTTGGGATTTCTTAATCTTCTCCATGATTTTCAAGAGAGGTCTGTGTGAGTTTGAGAGAGAGAAGTGATTTCTATGGTTGGATGGGATTTTTGTGCATGTGAGTGGGGGCCTATTCGCACACGTATATAAAGAGGTGTTACAACTTACAAGACATATTTGGTCGTGTAAAGATTGATGGGGCCATTTTACGTTTGAAAAAAGAGTAATGTTATTTGCTCCCACTATAATTATAACTTTAGTCTATGTAACGATGATGTGACATTAAATGATAAAAACAATTAAATGAGTCAATTTTCACATTTCGTTTAGCCTATCACTTAATACAATATAGACTGAAGTTATAATCCAATGGGACTAAATAACATTATTCTTAAAAAAACAATATTAGAAACAGTAAGATGATATTGCTGTGAAGAAAACAATATAGAAAGGGCACATAACGTTCTCACCTTCACTATTATCGTGAAAAACGTCATTATCTTTCATTTTTTTTGTATTTTCACTCTTATTTCCACATTTTATTACTCAAAAAGTCATTTTCATGCATTTTCTCAATTAAGAATTGTAAAATGATAAATATATTATTATCTTTAAATAAAATAAAAATAAATAACTAATTGCAACTATTATCCCAAATTTTTTGAAAAAAATGCAAATGAGTCCAAATAAATTATTAAAAGGGTAATTAACACATAATGTTCATATATTTCATTGTTATTATGAAAAACGTCCATACATTTTTATTTTTTTTTTGACATTTTCACCCTTAGTTACATTTTTTATTGTGCAAACTATTCTTTTTATCTATTTTCATCCAATTTCTCAATAAAAAAAAATAGTGAAATGACGAATATACCCTACTATTTAAATAAAATAATAATTAATTGAAACTATAGTCCCAATTTTTTTTAAAAGTGCAAACGAATCCCAAATAAATTATTAAAAAAATAAAATATATATAGAAACAAGTCACGATTAAATGTTTTTTGAAAAAGTAAAAAAAAAAATTGCAAAGTACAAACGAGTCTCAAATAAATTATTAAAAAATTAATTTTCTTTTTATTATTTAAATAGGAGAATATGTTCATCATTTCACATTTATTTATTGAGAAATTGGATGAAAATAGATAGAAATGATAGTTTGCGCAATAAAAAATGTAATAAAGGGTGAAAATGCAAAAAAAAAAAAAAAAGAAAAGTAGAAACGTGTTCCGCTACAATAGTGAAAGGTGAAGACATAATGTGCTAATGACCCTTTTAATAATTTATTTGGAACTCATTTGCAATTTTTAAAATTTTTTGGGACAATGATTGTAATTAGTTCTTTCTTTTTCTTTTTGTTTTATTTAAAGGGAATGGTATATTCGTTATTTTACAAATTTTAATTGAAAAAATGCATGAAAATGACTTTTTGTACAATGAAATGTGGAAGTAATGGTGAAAATACAAAAAAAAAAAA